CTCGGGTACTCCTGGCTCAAAAAGCATAACCCCGAGATCAACTGGGAAACAAAGGAGGTGAAAATGAGCCGCTGCCCCGAAGCTGCTCCACCTGCCGCGACGAGGAACGGACCGGGCGCTGAGGTTCGCCGCCTCCGACTCCTTAAATCGCGCTTACTTGCAGGCGCCTTCCCCACCGTTTGCGCTATCGATATCGCTGGCCCAGACGATGCCGACGACGAACTCGGAGCTCCTTCGGACCCTCCGGAGCGCTCACCAGACCTTGACGACGACGAGCATCTTGAAGACGGCGACCGCATCTTCTACACCTCCTTTCGCCCAATCGAGGAGATTCGCGCTGGGAGCACCGTGTCCCAACGCCTTGCAGAGGCCTTCGCCCGTAACTCGGCCCCCCCGCCTTCGGAGATTCCGGACTGGGCCAAGGAGTTCCAAGACGTCTTTGACAAGGAGTCCTTCGACACGTTACCAGAGCGGAGGGCTTGGGACCACGCTATCGAACTCGTCCCCGACGCGAAGCCCGCTAATTGCAAGGTGTATCCGATCTCCCCCTTGAACAGCGCGAACTTGACGAGTTCATCGAGGAGGGACTTGCCACAGGCCGTATCCGCCCTTCGAAATCTCCGATGGCTTCCCCGTCTTCTTCGTTAAGAAAAAGGACGGAGGACTTCGGTTTGTCCAGGACTACCGCGCCCTCAACGCAATGACGATTAAGAACCGGTACCCCCTCCCGTTGATTAATGACCTTATCAACAGGCTTAAGGGCGCCCGTTACTTCACCAAACTCGGCGTTCGCTGGGGCTTTAATAACGTCCGGATTAAAGAAGGAGACGAGTGGAAGGCGGCCTTCGGACCAACCGAGGGTTGTTCGAACCTTTGGTGATGTATTTTGGCCTGACGAACTCCCCCGACTTTCCAAACGATGATGAATGACATTTTCCAGGATCTCATTCTCTCAGGAGACGTCATGATCTACCTCGACGATATCCTTATCGCGCATTCGGACCTCCGTAAGCACCGCGAGATCGTCCGCGAAGTCCTTCGGCGACTCCGAATGCACAAGCTGTACCTTCGCAAGGAGAGAAGTGCGACTTGAGAAATCGTCAATCGAGTACCTGGGGGTTATCATCTCTCACAACCACGTCGAAATGGATCCCGTTAAGGTTGCCGGAGTCTCCGCATGGCCTCCGCCCGAAAACAAGAAGGACATCCAGCAGTTCCTGGGGTTTGCTAATTTCTACCGCAGGTTCATTCGGGATTTCTCGGCCCTAGCGCAACCCCTCTTCGCGCTCACCAAGAAAGACCAGAAATGGACCTGGGGAGACGCCGGCCGCCGCCTTTCAAGCTATCAAAGACGCGGTCGTCTCAGAGCCCGTCTTAGCGATCCCGGACGACTCCCGGCCTTTCCGACTTGAAGCAGACAGCTCAGATTATGCGACGGGGGCGGTTCTTTCACAACAATCCGCCCCGGACGGGAAGTGGCACCCTGTAGCGTTCTATTCCAAAAGCTTAAATGATGTCCAGCGCAACTACGAGATTCACGACAAGGAGATGCTCGCGATCATCCGCGCACTCGAGGAGTATCGGCATTTCCTCGAGGGCGCCGCGCATCCGGTCGAGATCTGGACTGACCATAAGAATTTGGAGTATTTCCGAAAGGCACAGCACCTTAACCGTCGGCAAGCCCGATGGTCGTTGTACCTTTCCAGGTTTGACTTTACGCTGCACCACGTCCCCAGGTCGCCAGATGGGCCGTCCCGATGCTCTCTCCCCGCCGGCCCGACCACGGTATCTCCGGCGACAACTCGGATGTCACCCTCTTACGCCCCGAACTGTTCCACGTTCGCGCGCTTGAGGCCGTCACCGTCTCTGGGCCTGGCTCCGAACTTGTCCGCGACATCAAGGAAGCGCTATCCGGTGAGCCTGACCTAGAGGAGCCCGTCGCGCTTGCGGCCCGGCAACTCTTGAAGGTCCGAGGTCAAGTTCGGGGCCCCCGCTCATCACGTTCGGACGAGTGGGCCGTCTCCGGCGACCTCCTGTACTTCCGCGGCAAGGTTGTAGTCCCTAAAGACAAGGACCTAAGGAGGCGCATCATCGAGCTCTGCCACGATACGCGTCGCCGGACACGCCGGGCGGTTCAAGACCTTAGAGTTGGTTTCGCGCAACTACTGGTGGCCGCAGATGTCTCGCCATATCGGACGCTACGTCGCGACCTGCGACTTATGCTGCCGCACGAAGGCCCTCCGAAGGCTTCCGCATGGAGAGCTCCATCCGACCGAAGTCCCGCCCGAACGTTGGCACACTGTCACTGTAGACTTCATTGTCGAGCTGCCCGAGGCCCATGGGTATGACGCGGTTATGGTAGTGGTCGACGCCCTCGGAAAGCGCGCCCACTTCACTGAGTGCCATACGACAATAGACGCGGTCGGAGCTGCCCGCTTGTACTATCGGAACGTCTGGAGGCACCACGGAACCCCCGAGAAGTACATTTCGGACCGTGGCTCGCAGTTCATCGCTGACTTCACGCGGAACTCTGGCGCTTAATTGGCGTCAAACCGGCTACCTCCACGGCTTACCACCCGCAAAACCGACGGACAAACCGAGGCGTTAACCAAGAGCTCGAGCAGTACATCCGGATCTTCACCAACTACCAACAAGACGACTGGGACGAGCTTATCCCTGCCGCTGAGTTCGCCTATAACAACCACGTTCACTCCTCCACTCAACAGGTACCCTTTATGACGGACACTGGCCGGCTTCCCCGAATGGGTTTCGAGCCAGGCGCCCGCTCAGAGTTGGAGTCGGTAAACGAGTTTCGCGATCGGATAGCTAACGGCGTCTCCGAGGCAAAGGCCGCACTCGTTAAAGCCAAAGACGAGTATAAACGGTACTACGATCGGAAACGTTCGGACGCTCCGAAGATTCAAGTTGGTGATAAGGTTTGGTTGGACGCCTCTGACATTAGAACGACTCGGCCCTCCGAGAAGTTCTCCCACAAGCGCCTTGGACCGTTCAAGGTGCTCGCAGAGGTTAGCAAAGGTGCCTACAAGCTAGACCTCCCCCGCGTTACTCCAAGCTCCACCCCGTCTTCCCCGTTGTTAAGCTCGAGCCCGCTCAGGACGACCCCTTCGACGGACGACCCGGCTACGACGAACCGCCCCCGAACTAGAGGACGGAGTTCCCGAATGGGAAGTCGAGGAAATCTTGGATGCCAGGATAAGGTATAAGCGTCTTAACTATTTCGTCAGGTGGAAAGGCTACGATGCTTCACACGACTCGTGGGTTCGGTTCGACCGTGTCTTTGCGCCAGACAAGATTGCGGACTTCTATCGGAGATACCCGGGTAAACCACGGCACATCGCCTCAGCAACCTTCGACTCGCTGCCCTTCCGTATTATGTGTCGGGACGCCGCATTCAAAGGGGGGGTGATGTCAGGGGAACCCCGCTTCGGCCTCCTTCGGACCCTCCGAACGCATCCGAGGCGCATCCGACCGGCGCCCCCTCGGACGCTCCGACCCACCCCGACCATCGTCCCACGGCCTCCTTCGCCCGCACAATCACCGATCCGTCAAGACCCTCCCAACGATCACCTTGGGACAGAGCCTGCGACGCCGCTCAGGCCTTCTGCGCTCTACGTCGGCAGTTACGGACGACCAGTATATAGTTGGCGCCCTAGCAGGCGGACCCTTAGAGTTTCTTCTCTTTGGATCCTCCCCTGCTAGGTCGGTCCCTCCGTGTATTTCCCGTAGCTTTTATTCACGCTTTGGATCCTCCCCTGCTAGGCTTTCGTCGGAGTCTCCAGGGTTGCCCTTACAAAAGCCCGCAAAAGTTTGGGATGGTATCCATTGTCCTTTTCATTGGGGGGTTCATGGCTGTCCCAGCATTCTGGTTGACAACATTTGACTTTGCTATGATAGAGAAGGTTATTAGAGAAAACCCAGCATAAATTCAATGCAAACCTTGATTCAGGGGTTTGTCAACCCAACTGAAAGGATTTATATCAGTCCTAGTCTCATAAGCTGTTTTGATCTCTCTTACACCATATTGATCTCCTGCAAGAGAATACAATTAGATTTTATAGCAAGATAAAATAAAGCCAAAACCTGATCAATAGCATCAACTAGACCAAAGCCCATAGTTGTGCCATCTTCTCTGACATAGTTGATGAGATTATCCAAGACCCTGTAAGAAGAGATAGTTGATTCCTCAAAATATTGGTTGGTAAAGCACATACCAATCACAATCACCAGCAAGCATAGGGACTGAGCCTGCCCATTGGCCAATAAAGCCTAATCTGTATACTAATGAGCCAAATGCTGAGAAATCTGTGGTGTCTTACTCAAAAACATGTTCCTCTATAGACCTGTCAGTATATCTGCTAAGTTTGGAATTCGAAAGTAGACTTGCGATTTGTGTCAACACCAAGTGGACGGCCATCTACTGGTTCTGCCCCAAGAACTGTGCTAGTAATTCCAAGGCTGGAATTGAGTTTGACATAGTCACCAGCACCAAGCTGTACAATCTCTGTATTCATGGCACTAGCTCCAGGACAGCGAGGAATGTTGATACCTAAAAACTGAGTTAAAATTGGAATAATATGATATATTATAGCATACGACGAGGCTCCAGAATGAAAACTCTCTCAGTGAGATTTTTTAATTGACTAGCTGATCTTGGAGATTGTTGATGCAATGAAGAGGACTGAGTTATCTTCTTATTATACCAGTTTAGGTATGGCTGGAATATTTGGGTTGCACTATGCAGGATGCTCTTCCCTGTAGCTAGGAGTATTGTTATAGATGATGTTTGAATAGTGTTAACAGGAAGACCTGCTTCGTGATTAATAGTTAGAATGAAAAATAGGATTCAATACCTCTTTTACGTCTCTCATCAGGATCAGTACCTGTGGCATTCCAATCTGCATTTTCTGGGCCATCAGGGAGCCCCAGATCAGCAGGCATAGTTGGGCATGAGGACGCTGAGGAAGACACAGAGGACTGACTCATGCTACTTGACCTGCCCATGGATATAGAATGTGAGGTATGCTGTCCATCATCCTCACCACCAGGGGGTGGTGGTGTGGGTCTAGGAATAGGATTGGTCCAGGGGCCTTTCCAGTCAGGAGGAGGAATTGGAACCTGTAAACAGGTTTAAGTATAAGATATTTATGAATATCAATTGACCAACAGGTGTAAGCCCATGAATAATTCCAATATCAAGTGGCAAGCATGGGTTGATGAATCCTCCAAAGATGATTGCCCATATGTTTAATGTGTTGCAGCGGTTATGGTCTCCAGGAGGGCCAGTTACAGTTGGATGGGGGGAGTCTGTTTTGGGTGGGACAGAAACTATACTTATATATGTGGGAGTTGAAGTGAGAGGGCCAGTAAATGTGATCTGTGTAGCTCCAGGAGGTGGAATAATGTCCTGAGCTATAGAGACATCAGAATTTTATTTATGAGAATAGATGATACATACACCAAGTTGGAATAATTCCGCCCACTTCAGAACACTGGGTGGCTAATGGACCACCAACAGGAGTGCCACCACTGAGAATTTAGGAATCAATCATTATACCTGAGTAATAAACTTACCTATTCAATGTGATGGTAGCACCACCAGCAGATATAGTAGTGGTAGCAGTTGGAATTGGAAAACTAGTTGTAGTACCAGAGCAAACAAATGTCTCTGATGTTGCTCCAGGTGGTGGGAATGGATTTGGATCTATAGGTTATATTAGCATTAATTCTGCCAGGATCAAATTATTCATACTCCAAGGGATATCTGTATTTGATTGAGCTGGTTGTCCAATTGTTGTTGTCTAGAAAAGATTAATAAGTTACTGAGAATTAGTGATAAACACAACTGACAAAGGGAAATATAGGATCTGTCCATGGCCCAAGCCATCCAACAGGCATAACAGGTGTTGGAGTGATGCCATCAGAGATACCAATTGATGTTGGTAAAGTGCCAATAATTACAGGACCTGTTGGAGCACCTGACATTGACCACAGAACACCATGAGGACCAGTAACAGTCTCAATAGCACCTGTAGATGGTGATGGCACAACTGTTGTAAAAGATGGGCCACCAGAGAATTCTGGTGGTGCAGTAAATGTAATAGGACCTGTGGTTGGTGGAACTATCTGAAAGGTCCATGTGGGTGTTATACCATTGACCTCTGTAATACCAGGTGGAAGCAATGCTGTTGCTGGTGTTCCTCCTGGGTCAAGGAATACAAATTGTGTCCCCACAGTTACTATTGTCGTTGTGGTGGGTATTGGTATCACTGTTGTGGAGCCACCAGCAATAGCAAATGTCTCAGAGACAGCACCAGAACTAGGGATAGGGTTGGGATCTATGTATATATCAATGAAAATAATTCATTCAAATAATGAAATAACTTGCTCCATGGCATAAAGTTCCAATTAGGGAATGTGCCAGAACCACCACCACCACCAGGATTGCTTCCATTATTGCCACCAGAGCCACTGCCAGGAGAGCCATTTCCCTGTGAAGTACTTATTTAGTCTGGAGGAACCAATTGAGTACACCCACATTAGCTTCCCAAAGACTTAATGTGCTTGCATATCCATCAACATTATCTGCTTGCAATGCAATAGAAACATTGCCTGGATAGCTGATCATGTTGGTAGTTCCAGTTGTTGTCAGCTGATAAATATACACTGCAGAGGACTCATGATCAACCAAAACCATTGAGTTCTGACAGTTTTTGGTAACAACACAATCTTGACGATAGTGCTAAACAGATTTTATCAGTCTCAATATTAGAAAATAATATAATATACCTGAAAGAAGCTATATAGACCTGCACCATAAACAAATATGTTGAAGGACCTTGTTATAACTAGGCCCCATGCATCAACAACAGCCTCAGATGGATCTCCATAAGCTGAATTAAGTGTGAATGGTGCAGGGGGAATAGGTGTAGGCTGGAAATATGGGGTCTCAGTCTGGATCAGCCCTGCATAGATGTTCTGTGCATTGTTGAATGCATATTGATAAATGACTTTTATATTTTTAGCAATAATAACTCATACTAAAAAGAGACCTACATGATGCTCTGAGGCAGTTCCAACCAGCCAAACTGGACCAGCCGCTGATTCCACCAGTATCCCACGTCCACTAAAAGAATTGATCTGTGTTTGATTGGGATCATCAAGGTCATGGTCTGGTTGAACATAAGCAAATAAGAAAGACCAATACTTGATACATGCCTGCATTCCAAACCCAGACATTCTAAATTATATTAGTTGCATGTAGTGTATATGAAATAGTGCATACCTCAAAGTATCCTGACCCAGAAGGAGTGATATGGATGCCCAAAAATGCAGAACCACAGGTTGCTAAGTTGGTTGCAGAGGTGGAATAGTGTGCTGCATCAATATTTGTTCCCTGGTAAGATTAGTACTCAGGAAAAAAAGTGTTGAAGGTCTGCCTTACCTTGGCACCACCCAATCGGACATGCACATCCCAAAGTCCAGCTGACCCTGGTGATGATGCATCTAAATTCCACTCAATGCCAATAGCACCAGCTGAACCACCAGTAGTAGTGATAACAAAGTCACTAATTTCAGCAATTCCAACATCTCCAGGATGACCAACCTGCCATGTTACATAAGTTCAAGAGTTACCATTAGATATAAGAGATGATTACCTGAATGACAGGCCGAGGATTAGCCTGATCAGCAAAATTCTTCCCAGTGCCCATAATGACTGAGTAGAGTACCCCAACAAGTTGTGTTCCAGCAGGGACAAATATTGTATCTGAAACAAGATAGGTGCCTGTTTCAATAACTAGATAGTTGGTTAGTATAACTAAGTATATGTGGAAATAATATTTGTCATACTTAGGATTGCACAACCAGAGTTCTATTTCCTAGATCAGTTATGTTATCTGGACATGTTTGAAAGTGTATACCTGAGAGATAAAATTATTGATTGCCTGAGTATCATCTGTCACACCATCACCCTTTGCTCCAAGACCACTTGTCATGAGAGTGCGGAATTCTGAGTACTATTAATATTAGCATATGTTCTTGATATATTAACTCACGACTTGTGGTATATGATGCATATTGAGGACGAGATCGGGAGAAATAAGTTCCAGATGTATCTGTCAAGAGCTGTGGACGACTCCCAGCTGGTGTATATGATCCACGCAAATAGCGCTTTGAATTTCCTAGTAATTATTTAGATTATTTCAAATGGAAAAGAATAAAATCATACCTAAATAAACATTTCCCTGAAACCATTCCAAACCAACACCAGTGTTAGCAGCAACCACAGTGCCACTAGCATCTTCTGTGGAACTTAGATAGCATTTAGAAGTACCCCCATACATAGACATATATACAGTGGTTCTCCTCACCCATTTGGGATCATCAGAGCCGACTCAGTCGTCCTCCAAAAGCCGAAGTTAATTTACGAGGCAAAGCAAGAAACCCCGTCCGACACTACCACCACCAGGAAATGCACAACTGCACTTACGCCGGTCTGCCGTCACGGCTCGCCGGTCGCGTCGTGTGGGGGGCTGGGAGGCGCTCCAGGGTAGCAAGCTACCCCATCATCACCACCTCCCGACCCACTAAAACCTGGAGCTCGACAGTGGGACGTGCCACTAGCATCTTGAATATTGGCAGTCTTGATATTAGAGAAGGCAACATTGTCTAGAACAATGGAGCCACCAAGTGTTTTTGGTTGACTGCTTGTCATCTGAAACAATGTCAATGCTGGTTTTTGACAAGTTCACCTTATCATACCCTGATACCAATACCAGTGGATGATATTTTAGAATCAATAATCAGGACACCACCAGCACTCTGTGTGGCTAGGGTTAACCCCCCAGTACTGAGATCAAATCCAACTTGACAATTCCTTAATAGTCTTGAATATCAATGAAATCAGAATAGCACCAGACTGACGATATCTGGATATTCTGCCATGTGAAACCCCAATTCCAGAGCTGATATATGGCAGAAACAGCATTGGTAATCTTCACATTGCGGATAGTAAACTGCTGGTTAGAGAGCCACATGCCAAATGCACCACTGTTGCATATTTGAACAGTTATGAAGCCAGAGATATAATACAACACACCCATTGAATGTCAGATCTGACATAAATCCACCAGACCCATTCTCCATGAATATCCTGTGCAATCAAGTTGGAGGCAATCAATGTGGATAGTGAACACCTACCCTTGGTGCCTTGTTCCAGATGCAGATGACATCTTGAAGTCAATATTGTTCAATGATGTTGCCTATAACATGTCAATTACACACAGTGTCTCATACTACAAAGGTTCTACCCACCTGGCCGACTTGCCAGTGAATACCTGTTCCATATGCATCAGGTGGCATGGCCGTAACATCAATCACAAAGTTTCGAATTGAGCGAAAAAAGTTCTATGAATGCATGCTTTAGTCACTTCCCCTATTTGAGTAGCATAATGTTGCACATTCTGATTTGTCCACCAATTAACTCCTGAACCATCAGGGTTCACTTGTCCAGGAATATAAGGATCAGCATCTGTTAATTGATTTAAGCAAGCATAGCAATATAACCGGAATGTGTACCAATAACAGCAATGCCATTGAAGTTAGCATCTGCGACAAGCATTGGTTTGTTGTTGTAGTCACCAACACTGTATCAATCACATGAGTTGTGGACTGCAAGTGCTGAGCCAGATCACAAACAGAGTTGTATAGTAGAATGGAATTATAGGTGCAGTCACACGATACTACAAAGCAATCAGTAACAATGTAATTTACACCCATATAATACATACCTTCCCCGGAGGGAAGAAGATGATTGCGGGTGTAATCTACCAATCATTTCAGAAAGAGGACCAGAAACGAGACGCGAACAGACTGTAGATGATACGCAGCCTTGGCCACAACGACCGCCATCTGGATACACACTTTCAGAGTCATCCACATGTGAAAGAACTGCCAGACTCACCGCTGATCGCTCGGTTAATTGCAGCGGTGTCGTCTGCATTAGCAATAAGTGCCATGAATCTGTCTGTAAATAATCACACATGCCTGCGACACCATTGCCCACGGCCCCATAGTCGGTTTTCACATTGCGGAAGACCTAACAGATTTGAAGTGTCAAGCCCTCAGCAATTATTGTGACCAACCTTATAGCCCGACTTGTACACACTTTTGCTGAGCGACGTCAAGCCGGAGTTGTTCATCCAAAATGGATCTAGAACGAGGTTAATCAGAGGACAAATGAAACTGGAAGACACACCATTCCCAGATGCGCTGCCGCTAAGCCCAGCACATCCTGCGGCATACACCACTGAAGGTAACAAGCTAAGAGCTCCGAGGCACACTGCCCAAGATAACTTGAGCATCGATAGTAAGAGAGAGGTCCGTCGAGTTCGGCAAGAGTTGGGGAGAGAGTATATATTGCGCACGAATTCGAACGGACCCGGGTGGGCGATTGTCGCTCCATCTTACGGTTCAAACCGGTCCCAGACCTCCGTCCACGCGGGGCTGCCAAAGTGTATTTTGCGGTGAATGATGTATAAGCTGGAAAGACTGGACAATATTGGCCATTGCGCACACGCGACTGTTGAAGATATGGCAGTGGCGAACGCGAGCCTTCGCCGAGACGATGACGTCAGCGCCGGCCCAGGCTCCGGCGCCATCACCGACGCGCGACGCGTCGGGAATCTTCTACGTTTTTCTCCTTGTTTCTTTTGACTCATATTTACAGAAATTGCTAGAACATTTAGAATACTATAAATACTTACATGTTTCTCAGTAGTAGGCATTGAATTTGCATCTATTCTTTCAACAGGTTATGGGCCCCGCTAGCCATAACTAAAGACATCGACATTCTACTTGCTACATCTCCCACATTCCCACTTGACACATCATGTCAGACTCGACGACTTCTCGCAACGTCATCAAGGCTCTTGAAGGCCAGGCTGGCTACGCGACTTGGCGCGTGAAGATCCTTGACTTGGCGAATGAGCACGACTTGGATGAGTACCTTATTGGCGACGAGACGGAGCCGCCGAAGGTAGTCAAGGTGGGGGAGCCAACAGAGGCAGAGAAGAAGGCGACGGCTATATGGACAAAGAAGCAGCGGAAGGTTCTGTCGCTCCTCCGACAGCGCGTCAGCGATGGCCCAATGGCTTACATTAACACCATGACCCTCGGCATTGCGGCCTGGAGGAAATTGGAGTCCATCTATCAGCCTAAGGGGGCCATCAGCATAATTCGGCTTCGACGCGTGCTGTATCACACCTCGTGCGCCGAGGGGGAGGATGTGGAAGAACATATCAGAAATTTATCGACTTACCGGACACAGCTTGCGGCATTCGGCAGCTCTATTGACGAGGCCGAGTTTGCCATCATCGTTTTGACCTCGCTACCAACTTCGTGGGACCATTGGGTAAATGGTATTGATTTGACGAAGATCACGGACTCCGAGGATGTGATTGGAAGGGTACTGCAACAGGCCGGACGACCCCACGCGAAGCCGGACGCCGACGCCGACATGACTACGGCGATGCCAGCGCGACGCGGAGAGGGGCAGGGCAACAGACAAGGGAATGGAAATGGAAATGGGTCGGGCACTGGGAATGGGAACGGGAGCCGCGGAAACCAGAGTTGCTGGAATTGCGGGCGACCCGGACACCGGAAGCAGTGGTGCCCCGACGCCGAGAAAGGAATCACTTACACTGATCAGGAAAAGGACGACAACTACGCCCGTGCTATGCGGTACCAGGCCCAGAATGGTGGGCAGAACGGCCGGCAGACAGCACACATGGCCCGAGAAGACGATGAAGACATCGCGTTCATGGCTTTCGGCCGGGAACGGCTCACGCGGAACTCGTGGCTACTGGACAGCGGTGCCAGCACACACATCTCGAACGACAAATCACTATCACCTTGCTTTACAAGGTCCCCAGGCTGGTAATTCGTCACGTTATCTGTGAAAAACAAATAGAGACAAACAATGACTCATACTGATTGCGAGGATGATTTATATAAAAGTAGTAGTGAAACATCGGTTTGGAGGTAACACACAAAGAGATACAAGATATGTGGTTGAAGGAAGCATACAAAGCAGGAAGATATTTGGATTGAAGAAGACAGATTGACCAACATGAGCCTCTCTGTCTCGAACTAGCGCAGTTCATCGAGAGTAGGTGTTTTTACCGCGATGAGGGATGTGAGGCAGTTGGGGCACTTGAATTCGGTAGGACGGGGAGGGATATGATTGTGTGTGATGTGGCGTGGAGGGATGACAGGCTGTGTATGCCATTGTCTGGCGTACTCGTTGGATCTGTGGTTATGTTAACGGAAGGGTTTAGGTGTTTCAAGTTCGCGCTGTACGCACTTCTGGCCGAGGTGAGTCTTGATAGGGTTCGTATCGCGCGCGCCGTATTGATGTGTATGTCCCTTTCCGACCTGTGGACTGAACGGGAGGGTCCCTGCGATCTGCATGGGGTTGAAACGCTTGTTTTGGCTCGCCGTCTGTCGGAGTTTGTAGACCTCTGCCGATGAACGACGACAACCATACCTTACTGTACGCCGCAGGGTGTTTTGGTTGAGGCGAGAACACAGGAAGGTTTCTATCTGCGTTTTGCACGTCCGAAAACTGTCCTCCCAAGAGCGTCGGAGTCAGTTTGGTCGTTTCGAAAATGATGTCGCTTCGCTTTCCCAGTGCAGGTGTGACAGGTATTTCCGCGGAAGCGCGCTTCGCTGGGGCCGAAATATTCTCGTTCTGCTTCGAAGTTAATGTTTGTTAGTTGTCTGGGATAATGCTGCCCACCTTGGTGAGCTTCCACACATCTACATTCTCTTGCGTCGGCACAGGCAAATAATGCTGCTCTGCTTCCTTCGATGTGTCGCCTCTAGGCTCTGGCTCACGCTTCCTTCCATGCACATTTTGCATGTGCTTTGGGTGAATGGCGTTCAGTTTTGAGAGATTCTGTAATTGAACAGAGAATGACGCACAGTGTTGAAGAGCTCTAGGTTTTGGAAACCTAACTGGCAGTCCATACATTTTGGATGCATGATCGAATCGTCGCGGTGTTTTTGTAGTTCTTCTGCGCTAAATGTTTGTAGGACGCATACTTCGCAATAGAATTCCTTGTGCTCTTTAAGACAATGCTTTACTGGGATTTAGCTTTTAGCACCTAGTGGTGGGATGTTCGTACCTCCGAGTAGTGACTCTCAGTCTGAAAACCAAGGCAACAACTTCGACAGGTTGGGTGCAGTACCGAGTCTTTGCAGTGGTCCGTGACATCTTCCTCGTAGATTTCACGCCCGCAGATGCACTTGAGTTTTTGATGGATGGAGGTGAAATGCTAGTGTCATTGTCACGAGGTGCCGTTCCAATTATTGGGACGTACCTCTTCCAACATTGTTTTGTTCAGGAAGCCTTTGTTGCACTTGGGGCAGTTAGGGTGAGCATCTTTACCCCGGTAATGGTCTTCTAGCGCTTTCTGTGTATTGAATATTTGACGTGGCTTACATGTGGCACAGATAAAGTGGAAGTTGACGAGGTGCTGACTGGGTTCAGAATCGACAGGATTGGTGAATGCAATGCGCTCACAATGCTCATGTCTTCTTTCCTTATTGCGGGTGCATCTGTGGGGCAGATAGGACATCGCGTTGTCTGATTCGCCTACGTAGGTTGTCTTTATCGGCTCTCTGTTCACAGGAGATGGACGCACTTCGGTGAGCCATAGACAATGGTTGAAGTGGGTGACCAGGTATCGATTTGTATTTCTTCGATGTATGCGTAAGCGGCCTTTTATCTGTATGAGAGGCCTGTCGAAGAGACTACAAATAAGGCAGTTTCTTTCTTTTGCGTCAACCAATGGGGAAAAGCCGGGTATCGTCTGGGTGCGGTCGGAGGTCGGTCCTTCCGTTCGATTAACCTTTTCGGGATGCTGTCGAGTTCTCCACTGCAGCTAGTTGACTATCGAGCGCCCGTTGTCGCCATTTTGTATAACGAACCAGCAACGCGTTCTGCAAAATCGTGGTATAATGGATTTATGGTATCTATGACATGTAAGCGTTGACACTAGGCTCTGCTTTCCTGTAGTACACGCTTCTTGCTGGTTGTCTGGCGTGTCGCGTGTGTTGGACTGCGCTAAACAGTCTTGTGCTCTGTGCGTGGATTGTTGAGCGTCACTTGGTCAGAATCAAAGGAATATTTCTACCAAATACCTATGGGGTGCTTTTCAGCGCTTTGATGTGTAAGGCGTAGCATGGGTGAGGATTCCTTCTTCGTTTGTCGACCGACATAGGCTTGAGATGTTGTACCATCTTGTTCCCAGTTTGTTCCCTAGAGGATCCACAACACTGGTTTTAAACGTGTTTGGCGAGAATTCGTGCTCCACGAAAGCGTATTGTCCGATGAACTCTGTTTTTCCCCAAGAGTCGGGGCCTATGATTACAACGCGCTCGTTCTGCCCCACTTCGCTGACATTTCCTCGTGCTGCAGATAGAGTGGTAGGAAACTCGTGCACGGGGTCCAACCAATCCAGTAGTATCCGGATCTTTCTGGAGGTTCGCTTCAAAATGACCTCCATGTGAGTACGGGTGTGGTTGCAGGGAATTGGTGCAATGGGTTCAACAAATCCTTCCTGCCCAATGACTGCGAACAGGGACTGAGAAATTCTGCCCCGTTCCATACGTCTGATGCGCACGTCTAAGCGCCTTCCTGTGTAGTCTGTTCTTGTGAGCCAATGGCCCGCATCGCACAACTCCATCGATAGCGAGACGTAACTCGAGATAGCCTTGGGAGATTCCGGTCGGAAAGAGACGAATTGTGATGGCAGGATGACCTTCAATTCGACGGACCGTCAGCCCGGGTTTATTTTTTGTTGTTGGTCGCACCTTTCCGCTTGCGTCGTCCTGTATTGGTGAGCACACGGCTTCTGAGCTGTTGAAGAAGGACCTCTTACAAGGCATATTTCCAGCCCTCCATGGGGAAACTGTTCGTGTTTGAGAGCTTTCAAAGGGAAAGTGCGAAGAACAAGTCCTTGATGTCCGACATAAAACCCATATGTCACTCGAACGAGGTCGCCTGCCAAGTAAAGTGGGGCGATATTGCATAGCGCTATATTATGGATAATTATCCCGTTCGATTCAATGTTGACCAGAGTGGTGAGCGGCAATTGCTGAAGTTTATGTATAAAACCATACTTGAGCCTGTGTGGACCATCTAAAATGACGACTCGGTAGCCTAGTCGAATCTCAGTTCCTCCTGTTAGATAGTGAGGTCGGAGGAAGCTGCGATCCATGATAACCTCGTCACTTGGTTCGATGACGGGCGACATTAACTCTCTCATTAGCGTCGGAGAGAAAGCATGGACGGCGATTC